ATCAAACACACACATGGATGATCCATCCCCCCTCTTATTTTTTTATTTATTCCTTTTCCCTTTTTTTCCTTTTCTTCTATATAGTAATAATGTTATTATTATTATTTCTGTTTTTAATAAAATCATAATTTAGGATTTAAATTTTATTCTAAATTAAATTCAATAATAATTCCCCTAACTAAAATTGTTTATCTTTAAATATTCCCCCAAAATTACTCATTTATCCTTGATTGACTTAATTAATGTTAGGTTATTTTTTGAAATGTTATGCATAAACCAAAGAAGAGATAAATAACATTCAAAATAACTTGGTAGGTCAACTTTTTCAAGAGCTATTTATATAGTCTAGATTTTATAGTTTGTTCATTATAGTTAGAATTTTAGCTTGATTTATAGAAAAGTTAGATGGATATAAACTTAGTTAATATATTGTGGTAGTTTGTTAGATTTTGATTGTAAATATTAAACACTTGAATGGGTGATAATGGTTTTGATGTTGTTGTTGTTTATTGCACACTTTGGTTATATATGTTGGGATGTTGTTGTTGTGATAATTTGCAACTTCAATTTAGCTGTAAAGAAAAACACTAAATATCTATTTGAGCAAAATATAAATAAACAACAAATCACTTTTTGAAAAAGGGACATAGCTTACATTAACCATGTTGCTTTTTAAAAAGAGAGATGTGGTTTTTTTAAAAAATCAAGTTACTTTTATCAAAAAAGTGATGTGGTTTCGTAACGGCATAAAATACCTTCAAAAAGCAGCGTGAATAATATTTTTTTTATAATAGTACATATAATATATGTGTTTAGATATATCTTCAGAAAATCAAGACTTTGACTTTTATAATTGATTATTTGGTTATCTAAACACGCACAGAAGTATTTATATTTTTTTTCCACAAAACCATTCTTTTAACCATTAAAATTGATTGTTTGATGTACCCAAACATGTAAATAATTAATTATATTCAAAATCAATTATATCAGAAGTGTTTATAGACATTTTTTTCCGCAAAACCATTGTTTCAATATTTAAAAATTCAAAATCAATCATATTAGGGTCTATTTGAAAATTTGTAGAAAAAATTGATTATAAAAAGTTGATTAATATGTTTGATTTTGAACTGATTATATTATGTGGTATAATTGATTTATAAAATTGATTAGCAAGATTGATTTTAAGCAAAATAAAAAAATTAAATGACACCATGATTTTGAAAAAATACATCCAAATATCATATAATTTTGTGGAGAATCACTTATCGTGAAAATAAAAACAAGGCATACTTTTTTAGGCCTTTAATATAAGACAAACTTAATTAACTTCATGCTTATTAAAAAATGATAGTTGTATTATTTAAATTATTAAAAAATATTTAACTTTTGACATTTTCCTTCTTTTATAGGTAATACTATAATATATTATTAGGAATTCAAAGAATAAACAAGTGGTGAAACAGAAAAAATAATTACTTTAACTGTGCCTTATATTATAAGGAAGTACAAGCTTTCAAAGTTTGCATTGTATCAAAGATAAGAGAAAGCATTAATTACAATTAGTATTATAATAAATGCTGTTTATGAATTCAACGAATAAACAATAAACAAGCTGTGAAATTCAAAAAAAAATAATTACTTTAACTTTACCTCATATTATAAGGAAAAACAACCTTTCAAAATTTTTATTATATCAAAGGTAAACATAACTTTTAATCCCTATACTTTACTCACGATTTGCTTTTGATCTCTATACTTTTTTTTTTTTATATTTTAAGCCCTTACACTTTTGTTTTCCATTGTTTTGGGTTATCCTAGGGTCCCTATATTTTACTTATAGAGGGACCAAAAATAATGAAAAATAAAAGTATAAAAATCTAAAATATCAAAAAAAATGTATAAAGATAAAAAGTAAAACGAAAATAAAGTACAGGAATTAAAATTTATGTTTACCCTTGTATTAAAGATCAAGAAAGTATTCATTACAAAAAATCTTTGTTCTTTTTATCAAGGACACTTGCATTTTGATTAGAAGAGCTGTCAACATGCATAGGACTATGGGAGAAATCCCTTCAAAAAGATTCAGATATGGTAATGATCGATATTACTCTCTTGTTTAATTTGTTGTTACCAGGTACTTTTTTAAGTATCATGTTCAAAATTGGGCCAAAAAAATATGATGTTCAAAAATATCAGTTTTTAATTAAAGCTTTTTTAATTTTTAAATATCCTTTATTAGAGGTGTTGTTAATAATATTTTTTAATTAACATAATTTATTAAATAAGAATAAATTAAATATATAAAATGTATAATATTAAAGGAAAAATCATGTTCAGCCCTCTTAAAATAATTAATCACAGATAAGGATCAATGTAAAATAAATTATTATTAAAATGGGAATATAATTTATTTTTTCAAATAAAATTTATTATTAATCTTTATTTATGATTAATTTTTTTAAAAAAAAGAGACTGAATATAATTTTTTTTTAATATTAAATGTCATCACCAAAAGGAGCAACAATCGCGTCAATGGCGTCTATGTTGTGGGAAAAGCCCTCGTGAGGGCATTTTTTCCCAAGAAATCGTCAAAGTTGTGACAGTATCTGTTTTGTGCGGTAAAAAACGCCTTTAGGAATGTTTAAAAACACATCTAATGCAAAAAATAATAATAATAATAAATAAATAAATAATAAAAATAAAAAATAAACACCTCTAAATTAACTTTTTTATAGTGTTAAAAATATAAATTAGTTAAAAATATCTTAAAACAATATTGAATTGAGGGAGTATTTATTTTAATTTATTAAATTAATCTTTTGTTGTTTCCCCAAAAAAAAAAAAATTAAACAACCAAACAAACATTTGAGCATCAGGTTTGGGAGTTGGGACAGCCCGATCACATGCACCTGACCTAAGAACCGACACCATGTTAGCTTTAATTTTTTTTATTATTATCATTTTTTTTTGTAGTCTATGATTGATCTCAAAGTCAAATTGACGAGACCTTATTAATTAAGGAGAAAATTATTATAAAATACAATAAGGTCTCACAGAATGTACTTAAAAATATCTTAAAAGTCTCAAATCTCTTTAATATAAATATATTTTTATACTTAATTACTAAAATATTTATATCCGTTTCTCTAAAATTGCATCATAATTTAGGATAGAGGTGGCGTGGCATAATATGCCAAATGCGAGAAAGCGAAACCCCAACAAATTAATCACGTCCTACAGTTTCATATTTGGCTGCATTATATTTGCCACTATTGATGTTTCAACCTAGCTAATAATTTAATAATTCAATGATATTATTCATGAATATTTCTCGTGTGTAAATATCCTAATTTTATATTTAGTATCGATGATTTTGATGTTGATTCGAATCTTATGCCCGAGATTATTGTCAAAGATTGCATCAATTCTCATTTTTTTTAAGAAAAAACATAATTTTAAATTCATGTACTTTACTCACATTTTATTATTAATCTTTATATTTTTTAATATTTTTTATCCTTATATTTTTATTTTTTTATTATTTTAAGCCCTTCCATGAATAAAATATAAAGACCTTGGAGGGAGGGATCTAAAATAATAAAAAAATAAATTTTTAAAAATTAAAAATATTAAAAAAATAGAGACTAATAACAAAATATGAATAAAATAAAAGGATGTATAGTTATGTTTTTTTTTTTTAAAAAAAAATCAAGATGATCTATTACTCCACGCGCGATTGGGGTCACGGTCAAGCTGCAAATATTCGTAATTAATTTCATTTTCTTCCTGCGTACAAGCTTCGGTGTTAATAATTTGACGTCGTAACTAAACACTCTTGGTGGTTTATACGCAAATTCTTCTGAACAACCATTTTATTAATAATAATGACAACAGCCGCCATTAGATTGTCACATTAATAGATTTTCTCGCAACTGATATGAAAAATATAAATATTTTTTCTCAATTAATATTAACAAAAAATACAAGCAACTTAATATTTATAAAAAATTTGCTTTATCCTTTATATTAATTAATCTAGATTCTTATGTTTATAAATTTATAACCTTTTTATCACTTATTATAAATTAAAAGTTTAAAACTAAGGGTAAAAAAATAATATATAGTTTTATGAAAATAAGGATTTTTTTAGTATATAAATTATGGTTAAAAATTAAAAGCTTGCTTATATTTTATGCCAAAAAGATTGTGTGTGTATATACTCTTTCTGTTAAAAAAATGTAAAATATTTTTTGAGAAGTTAGATATTCAAAAATATAAGACATTTTTAAATTTTTGATGTATAGTCATTATATTGTCATTTTTTAAAAATGTCTCTATAGATAATGACTTTATATTTATTATAGAGTGTTTAATAGAATAAATATAAAAAAATATGGTTAATTTAAAAGTAAATAATTACTTTATTGAAGGATAAAATTTAATTAAAAATATTTTATATTTTTAAATAGAGGGAGCATAAAATAAAGAGAAAGGCCTATAAGTATTTTATTTTATTTTATATTAATTATTAAAATCAACTTTAGAACGTATTGATCTAAGTCACGCGTACACGCCAACCTACCTCCAACAATTTGGTACCGAAAATAAAACGATAGAAGATGCAGAAGCAGTACTAAATATGACATCACCTCAGCCCTCCAGCACTCTTGAGACGAGATTTTTAGATGGTCTAAATTTAAAATATTATTATTATATTATTATACATTATTTTTGTTAAAATAAAATTTATAAAACTTATAAAATAATTTTAATAAATTTTTTATTTTTAATTTGGTCTAGATTTAATTTAGAGGGTTCAATTTAATATCAAAATTTTATAAATCTGGATAATCAATAACTATAAAATTTTAATATTAAATTCAACCCTCTAAATTAAATTTAAGTCAGATTAAAAATAAAAAAATTGTTGAAATTATTTTATAATTTTTATAAATTTTTATTTTAATAAATATAATATATAATAATATATTAAATCTGGACCAGGTCTCGGATGAGCATGCAAACCAGCCATATATTGTTGTTTGTCTAACCTTAGTAGGCCTCACGGATCATTAATTTCCTCCATGGAAGGAAGAACAAGCATGCTTCTCCAGGTGGTTCTGAAACACTTACCATTTGAACTAAACCCAACTTCCTTTGTCTCTCTCTTCTCCTTCATCATCGCCATAGTCTTGCTCATCAAACTCCAAACAGTAACCAGAAGAAACAAACCCGACCTACTGCCTCCATCGCCGCCTAAATTTCCATTCATCGGCAATCTTCACCAGCTCGGCACTCTGCCTCACCGTTCTCTCACAGCTCTCTCCCGCAAGTATGGCTCTCTCATGTTGCTCCGCTTAGGTCAAACCCCAACTCTGGTGGTTTCTTCTGCACACATGGCCAAAGAAATAACCAAATCCCACGACGTCGTTTTCTCAGATAGGCCTCAAACCACAGCTGCAAAAATACTTCTCTATGGATGCACTGATGTCGGTTTCTTACCCTACGGTGAAGAGTGGAGGCTCAAGAGGAAAATCTGTGTTCTTGGACTTCTCAGCCTTAAAAGAGTTCAATCCTTTCAGTACATCAGAGAAGAGGAAGTTGCAGATTTGGTCAATAAGATTCGTCAAGCATGTTCTGAGCATGATGATCATGTGAATATTTCTCAGATGGTTATTGCAACTTCAAATAATATTGTGAGCAGATGTCTTCTTGGAGAGAAGTTTGAAGCAGGAGATGGAAAAAGCAGTTTTGGCAACTTAGCAAGGAAAGTGATGGTCCTACTGGCAGCTTTCAGTTTTGGAAACTTCTTCCCTTCATTGAGATGGATGGATTTCGTTACGGGATTAATTCCGAAGTTGAATGCTACGTTTAGAGAATTAGATACTTTCTTCGATGAGGTCCTCGCTCAGCATAAGGCAGCTAAAAGGAATGACGATGATGGTCATCACAGATCAGAAAAGAAAGACTTCGTTGATATTCTCCACCAACTTCAACACGATGATCTGTTAGATATCGAACTCAACCAATCTGACATCAAAGCCATGATAATGGTATCTCTCTATGCTCTCTGTTTATGTTATCTATATATATATATATAAAATATAAAACTCTAGATCTAAGAATACCTAGGATCCTAAACTCATTTTTGATGTATTTTTATTTTTAAACATTTAAAATCATGGCAATCTCCCTCACTAACATTATTTTTTATTATTAGTTGATCAAAAAATAAAAGACCCAATTTTTTTTTTTGTAATTTTTGAGATTATTTTCTATGATTTTTTAATCAACTAACAGTTAAAATTTACAGCAATAGCGAGAGATTGTCACAATTTTAAATGTTTAGGGGTGAAAATGCACAAGAATAAGATCTAAATGTTGTTAAGCCTATAATTCAAGGGCTACATTGTCACTTTACCCATATATTAAATCTCCAAGGCTACTTTAAGCCAGCTTAAACATGTTTCATTTTCACAATATTGCCACAGGATTTTTTCACAGGAGGAAGCGACACAACTTCCACAGCTCTGGAATGGGCTTTTGCAGAACTCATGAGGAATCCAAGAACAATGAAGAAAGCCCAGGAAGAGGTGAGAAGAATGATGGGGAAAAAATCCAAAGTGGAAGAAACTGATGTGAGGAAAATGAAGTTCTTGGAATGTGTCGTCAAAGAAACTTTAAGATTACATCCTCCTCTTCCTCTGTCGGTGCCAAGAGAGACAAGATCAGGTGTGACTTTGGGCGGGTACTATGTTCCTCCAAAAACAACCGTATTTATGAATGCATGGGCAATTCAGAGAGATCCTGAGTTTTGGGAAAGACCAGAAGAGTTTGTCCCTGAGAGATTTGAGAACAGCAACGTTGATTTCAAAGGTCAAGACTTTGAACTTATTCCTTTTGGTAGTGGAAGGAGGGGATGTCCAGGACTTTCATTTGGAATTGCATCACTTGACTATGTGTTAGCTAATCTTTTGTATTGGTTCGACTGGAAGCTTCCTACTGAAGCAAGTAAATCTACTCAGCAAGCCATAGACATGAGTGAGATATTCGGGCTTACTGTCGTTAAGAAACAACCTATTTGTGTCCAACCAATACCGTACCTGATATAGCATCTTAGTTTTGGTATCCGATTAGTTCATGATCTGTGTTTCAAATTTGTGGTTTCAAGTTATTTTCATAGTGTATTTTAAATACAAATTGCCAGTAAGTTTGCTGTGTTTGGATGCTAGTTTTCCATTATATGGATGTTTGAATACTTGTATTGCAGTGGAAGTTGGATGCATCATGTTGTAAAATAGATTGTAGTTATTGTTAAAGTTACTTTACCTTTTTCATTTTATTTCAAAATAATTGAAACTTCATAATTTTAAGAGTTAAGTGATAATTTTACTTTTAAACTATAGGTTTAATTGTGTTTGAACTGTGACCCTGAACTTATTTTTGTTGCGATATTCCTCTTTCATATTTGAAAACAATGCAATGTCATTTTTGTTATTAATAAATATTAATTTTAACTCTCAGTTGATAAAAAAGTTACAAAAAATTGCCTAAAAATTATATAAAAAGACCTATAAGTTATAGAAAAAAATTAATGTCATTTATATAATTTTTTAGTTAATTAATAATCAAAGTTTGCTATGCTTGGATGCTAATTTTCCACTCTATGGATGTTTAATTTGGTTTACACTTGTATTATTGCCGTGGAAATTGCATGTTGTGATACTTGTATAGGTACTCCATTGTTGTAAAATATGATATTTATTGTTAAAGTTACTTTATTTTTTTATTTTAATTTCAAAATAATTAAACTTCATAATTTTAATGAAGCACTAATTATTTTAAACTATTTTGCTTTTTATTAATAAAAATAATGGTAGATGTGGAGAGCAAGCAATGCCTAGAAAGATAATATGAGATAATTAAGGGTATTTTAGTTAAATAACATTCAACGTTGGAAAAGTAGCCGCTTTTTGTTTTTTATTGTATTTTTTTTTTTTGGGGGGGGGGGGGTGGGGTATTGTTTGGCGGTAACCTCTGGGAATGACGGTGATTTAGGACAAGCCGGAAAACTGTATATAATTTTGATTCCAATGGCGACCAATCGTGATAATTTTTGGACAAATTACAAGTAAGGACTTGTAAAAATGAGAAATAACAATTCAAGACCATAAAATGTTAAAATTAAATTTTACCATGATTCTTTTTGGTAGTTAAAAATATTTTTGGGTGACCAAAATACCTCTGACAATATATATATATGTCAGAGCACTAAAAGCAACAAATTTTCCAACTAAAATAAAACGATTTTCCAACTCACTAGAGTGCTTGAACAATAGCAATTTGTGGTATTAGTTTAGGCTTGGGTGTGCATCATTTGGGGATGATTTTAAGTAAAAGAAGAAAACTGATTTAATTTTCAAATATACAATGTATACATTGTTAGAGAATAATTAGATGAATATGACAATGCAATATCAATTGATCTTATTAGGTTGTATCAAATCCACCATAGTTTTATGTTAAAAATAAATAAAAATTGTTACAAAGGTTTTGTCATATATATAATTGAATTTGAATTTGATGATTATATTTAATACAGATATTAAGTACTTGTATCATTTAAATAATTAAAATTCATATTAATGATTCTAAATTCATAATCTACTTAAGATTAATGAATGACTGTATTATCTGAATTGTTAATATAAATTTTAGCAATTCAAATGATGTAGATACTTAATATTTATATTAAATATAGTCATTGAATTTAAATTTTTATGTGATTCAAAACGCATGTCCATGTTTCAAAATAAATATTGAATTGAAATGTTTTCTAACATATCTTTAGTATATTGTTGATTTAATAGACAAAGATATATATATATATATATGTATGTATGTATTTATGTATGTATGTATATAATATTCAACGAGAAACTTTTTATCCTCTTGTCCCTCGTCATTCCAAGAAGCTTTTTTTTTTTTATTAATTCTACTATAAAGAACAAGACAAATACCATGGTAACCAATTAATTTTTATCAAAACAAACCAAACAAAATACTAAAAGAAATACAAACCAAACACAAATATTCAGACTCAAATTACCAAAAAAAGAAAAAAGAAAAATCCTCCCAGATCACATCAGAGATCTCAACATCAAATTTAAAATAAAAAAAATTCGAAAATGACACAAATGAAAAGGCAGAACAGTGTACTGTTTCTGATATTTAGTATTGGAATCCAGTTGTTATTGAAAAAAAAATTTGTTATTTAAAAAAAAAAAACCGGAGAACAACGACCTCACAATATGAAAAAGCATCTAGATTTCAACTATCATCACATCCAATATGGTCACCAAAATGATCGACGCTCCCAAGCTATCACCGCCACTAATATCATTTTCTTCAAAGAACCAACTCATGTATCGCATCTTCACTAATTATTTGACTACACGTATTGTTGATTTGATAGACAAACATACACGTGCCATGAGATTTGACGTGGAAATTTATCCCCTTATTAGTCATCATTTCAAGAAGCTTATAAATTTTAAGAGTCAACTATATTAAAAGAAAAAAATAAGCACCAACTGAGCCTATTAATTTTTATCAAATCAAACCAGACAAAGTGCAAATAGCTATGGAAACATGAGCCAAAACACAGATTCAGATTCAAACATCTCAAAATACTACTTGACCATAACTGATAACTGATAACCAAACACCAAAAACAAAATAGGATCCACTACACTAAAACAACACATTTTTTTTAAAATATTTTGAGAGAAAATATAAAAATTCCAGAGAAGTGATTTCTCTTGAGAAAATTAAGTGAGAAAAAATTTGCAAGAAATTGTTTCTCTCAAAATGTTTTGAGAGAAACAATTGCTCTCTAAATAATCTGAAAGAACATTTTTCTCATAAACTAATCCAAGAGAACTTCTTTAAAAACAAAATCATCAAAAAACTTCAAATTTAGTTGAGAGAAATATTCTGTAATAATCTAAAAAAAACAGATCTGGTGGGTCTATTTTGTAATTTTATCAAATAAGTTTGGGTCTTCTCATGTAATTTTCCCCCATTATCTTTTATTTAAATCTTCTTCTTCCTTGTCGGTGAAAAGAATCAGAAACAAGTGGAAAAAAAAAGCTAGAGTAGAGCAGACGAGCGTGAGGAAGAGAATTCTCTAAGCTTCCACCGACCTTTGCTCTCCGTTCTTCTTCCTCTGTCGCTCATCTCCATCGGGTCCTTTGTTTCTTTGGCCCTTCCTTTCTTTTTCTTCTCCACTTTCTGATCTGTTACAGCACCCAAAAAAAACAAAAATGAAGAAAAAAACCACCCACTGTTGCTGAAAACTTGAGGGAACCGTGATCTCCTCCTCCTTTCTTTCCATGCGTGAACGTTGAGTAGTGGATTTGCCATTATTGGAGGTTTGCTTGATGATTTCTTTCTCTTATTCTCTATGTTGTAGATGTCTTCTTCTCTACCATGCTAAATTAGCTAATTGAATTTTCATTCTCATCATTGTGCTGCTGGTATATATACTGAATATTGATATTTCTCTTGCTTTAGATGTTAAGTTTTAAACTCTTTTTTTGCCCTTTTGATTTAGAGCTGTACAATTAAGGGGAGAGTTGTTTCTTTAGTTAATATTAAAATTGAAGCCTTGAATTTTGTTGCTGAACAAGGAAATTATGATATGGGTGTGCATTATAATAATTATGTTAATTCAATGGCAAAGGATGATCTAGAAGCATAATTAGGATTATATAATAATAAACAATGCCATTAGTTTGGCTAAGAATAAAAATGGCGAAATTAGGAGGCATAAAAGTGGACATATGAAAAATTGATTCAAATTGTAGAAAGAGATATTAAAGTTTTATTATATCTAATAGGGGTTTCAAAAGAGGAGAAGCTAAATTGAAGTTGAGAAAAGAGAATTTTTAGAATTGGCAGCATACTAGGTAAGTGAATAACGTTCCCTAATATATAGAATCAATGATCTTTCTTTTACCTTATTTAATTACCTTAATTATTCTGAATTGATTTTTATTTTATTTTATTTGTATCTTAAGATTTAGTTTATTCATATGTAATTAGTTTGATTATGACTCAACTTTAATCATGTAGATATTTTCATAGTATTTCATTTTTAAAATATAAATATATATATACACATGCATGGATAAGATAAATTACCGTGAAAAGATTGTTTATGTCTTTCAAATTAAAGAACAATTTGAATTAAAAGAGTTTATAGATTCCATGCATGCCAGAAATGTTTTACGGGACTGAATACAGAACACTGTTTGCTAACGACAGTATCGTTAGCCCTTGGCGCGCCACGGCATACCTAGCTAGCAGGGTACATTGGAGGTGCTAGCCCTATGTGTCGGCCAACACACGTGGAACGAAGGGTGTAATTTCGTGGACATAATCCACACCTTTTTTTTTCACGGCTTCCAGCCACGCTAAATGTTACTTACTCTCATAGACTATGTGTCCACACCTGTTATTTGTTCTATTGAGGTCCTAACAGAAAATAAGTTTTTCAAAGTCATATTCTTGTTCTTAAGAATTGTATTTTGTGATTTATTTTATATAGAAAGTCATATTTCTAAATGGTTTTTCATGATTCTTTACTTTCCCTTTCTATTTTATTCATTCAATTATCAAGATTAAATTATATTATTATTTTCTAATACCTTCTGTAATTAGAATAGTCTTTTGTTTCCTATTATACATTCATAATTATCATTTTTGTTTAATATTATTATTATTTGGGAACGTTATTTACTGAAATCATTTTTGAGTATTCAGATAGTAGAAGTGAACTTGCTCTTCATTTGATCTCATGGGACTCCTTGAAACAAGAAGTATTTTGTTGCTCCGTCCAGATTGTGGATTAATGTAAATATTTAAATATCTTGGTTTTGTTCTAGATTCGCTCCACGAATCTTATAGGTAGGATCCTTGATTGAATTATTTTGGGATTGTACATATATACTGTATTGGAGTAGAATTTCGTATGCTGTATGGGTATTCTTTTGGCAAGTTGTAAAGATTTCGAGTAGTCCAACTTACAGGGGAGACTCTGCCGAAATTTTTACAAGTTAAATATTTTGATAATATTAATATTTGTGTAATACAAACGTTGATTATACAATGAGTTTGAGTAATTAATATGTCAGATAATATGTGAGTTTAGGCTTATAGAATATGAGTTTTCTTGTATTCCAGCTAGTCACACTTTGAAAACTTAGGGTGTGACATATTCTCTCAAAAATTTGTGA